ACAGGCAGATTTTTAAGCACAAAACATGGAACAGGGTACTCAAAGGGAAATGGCAAAGTTTTCAATGTTCTTCCTTTGGCCACCAAGTTTAATCCAAGTTACCTTGAACATTAACTAGCAGCCCTTTTTTTCCCTATTTGCTAACTTTAAAAACGTTTAATTTTTATACATGTGTTTCTTCTTTTTTCTGGTAAACACAGTTAAGAGCTTGAACTGCAGAAATTTCAAATAGGCATGTACAGGCCATAGCTAGTGTACAAACGTAGTAATGCTTTCATACATCTTGCAATGATGCCTTGTTTTATTATATGTTGTTTCTTTTTATGATTTTCTAGTCACTGAAGAAAGCCTTTGCAAGAAGAAGCTGAAATGTGTTTTATCAGTAAATCATTCATCTATTGAGTTGTGTTTCCAGTTTTTTCTGCTATAATCATATATTCAGCAGTCAGGGTATGGGTCTTTTAACTACTGCATTTTATAACTGTGGGTTAACACAGCATCTTGCACAGGAAAAATGAAGGCAATTCTTGAACATCAAAGGTTAATATCATCAATGGGTCTGAAAAGAATCAAATTAATTAAGGAGGTATTAAGTTAAGGCAATAGTAATGGTAGATCAGGTAGATCAGGATTTAATGCTAGATTTCATGGTGATATTCAGTAACTCTCAAAGGGTTATGACTTAGGAAATGCCAGTAAAAGTAGCAAGCATTGATGGAGAGAAATAGGAAGTGAAACTTGCCATAACTAACTTAGTGCTAATTAGTAATATCTTAGCAAGTTTTCCTTCATCTGTAAATTATGAGTATTGGTTACATTTCTGCCCTTAATTTGCAGAACTCAAAAGACATTGGAAGAGATGAGGACAAAAGCTTATCTAGTCCTACATTTTGTTCATATAGTGACCAACAAGGTGCCCATAGGAAGTCCACAAACAGGACATGAATTGCAGCAATATGATCTTAGAGCAACATTCCCTAGTGAGAAATATATAGTGCGAAGCTAGCTTTTTTTAAAAAAAACAATTTATGGGTCTTAGGGTGCGCTAGGTGACTAACTCTATTCAGTCGACTCTAGGATTCCAATAAAACAAACCCATCAAGAAAATCTCACAAACTGAAGCACTCTCTACTCTTACACGAAAGTAAATTCTTCATGTTGAAAATTAAACTGGGGGTGAGATAACTCTTAGAAAATATAAAAAATTGATTTCCCATATTATAAACATGAACCACTCTGTTGGATTCGCAGAATCTAAAATATCAAAACCTACAAGATGTTTTTTCGCGAGTGCGAAAGCAGACTACTAAAATTGCAGTTCTCAAAGAAGTCTGCCAAGAAGTTGTTATATTTACTTTTTGTGGGATAAGTGTTAGAATAGGTGCTTAAAACAAAAAAAAACACCTTTTACAAAAAATTTAAGCAGCTAATATACACACTACCTGTACTCATGCTCAATAACCAATAAAATGAAAACAAAAACTGACATGAACTTTCCCCTAAGAACTTGTTTAACCAGAACAAACTACAACATAATGACATCTTGAACTGTTTACTCTGGAAAATGACAGCCAAGGTTAAATAATAAAGTAAAAGCAGAATGTTCATGCATGTGTGCCATCCACAATAAATGACAAATGTAACACCTGTTAACAGGACCCAGTTACAAAGCATCGTTCAAAATAGGGACCCCTCCCCAATAGGAAAGTAGTGAATGGTTGGCAATCGCTTAACTCCATTTCCACATCCAATGGAACACTCAACAAAATAAGCAAACTGCTTGGAGTGCTATGCAGCAAGTATGGGATATCGGCAGGATCTTTTGAATACACAGAACATTTAGGAAGACCCGGTAAAACCTTTTTTTAAACGTATACATTCATAGGCTCTCAACTCCTACAATATATGTGTGTGCATCATCATGCAACAAAATTATCCTTGCACAGAGATGCTCTAAAATCCATTTCTTCAGATGAGCCTTTAAAATGATTGAAAAAGATCCCAAGGGCCATCCAGTCCAACCCACTGCCATGTGGGAATGAAAGCACTCCCAGCAGATGGCAATCCAGCCTGTTTAAAAACCTCCTGAGAGGTAGAGTTTAACAGAATTGATTTTAAGAGCCTTTTCACTTGCATTTTATTATTTTAACACAAGGTGTTAAAGACCATAAATAGTTTATGTCTATTTCAATTTCCACTTTTGACAAGCTTTCAGTTACATTGCTCTTGAATTAAACTATTCAAGAACTTTGAGTTCTAATTTGGGGAAGAAAAGCAGATCAGGGGCCTTTCAATTCTAGAATTAATGCCAATTGAGACCACTTTTTTCTTTTTTACCACTTAAGCTGCTATGGTTCGATGCCATGGCATCCTGGGATTTGCAGTTTCACAATGTCTTGAGCGCCTCTGCCAAATAGTACTGGTGCCTCAACAAATGACAAATACCAGAATTCCATAGCATTGAGTTGTGGCTTTTTAAAAGTGGTATCAAACTGCATTAGTTCCACAGCATAGATGCACTACTAATAGGAAGAAGAAGAAGTTGTTGTTGTTGTTCTTTGGGAGTGAGAGCCAAAGAACAAACCCCAAACTATGGAGGAGTTGAGAAGGGAAAGAGGATGGGCAGGGAAGTAAAAAAAGCAGCTGACAAATGCCAGCAAAGAAAGACTGACAAGGGAGGAAGGGGGAAGCTAGAGAGAGAAAAGCGAAAGAGGAAGATAGACAGAGAAAGAGGGAGAACTAGATGCAAACACAGAGAAAGAAACAAATAGATATATAGAGAGACGGGGGGGGGGGGGAGAGAGAAACAAATATATATACAGGGTGACTGTGAAGTCTCTTTACAATTTAAAAATATTATTACAAAGGCAATTGATGAAATACCTTAATCAAATCTGTTCAAAATACTCAGTGGTTATCAACGTTTTTTTAATCACATTATATTTGTGATTTAAAAAAATCAGGTACCCTGTTAATGAAAGAGCTATTGTTAAATATAACAAACCCCTAAAATGGCTACTCCTCAAGAGAAGGCACAGTGTGTATCTTTAAATGGTAAGGAAACTTTAGGGACACCCTGCATGTATATATACACATACAAAGACAAAGAGGAAGAAGGAGAGAGAAAAGAGAGGAGGAGAAAGAAAATAAGAGAGAGAGAGATGGAGAGGGAAAGAGAGGAAGGAAGATATAGAGACAGAAAGATGGATGGAAAAGGAGAAAGAAAGGAGGAGAAAGAAAAGCAGAGAGGGGGGAATTAGAGGGAGAAGAGAGAGAGAAAAGCAGAGAGAGCAGGAAATAAGGGGGAGAGATGAAGAGAGTGGGAAAGGGAAAGAGAAGAAGAGAAGAAGAAAGAGATAGAAAGAGAGAGAAGAGATGGAGGGAAAAGGAGAAAGAAGGGGTGAAAGAAAAGGAGATGAGCGGAAATAAGAGGGAGGGAGAGATGGAGAGAGTGGGAGAGGGAAAGAGAGAAGAAAGAGAGATAGAGAGAGAAGAGAGAGGGAAAGGGAGAAAGAAAGGGAGAGAAAGAAAAGTAGAGAGGGAGAAAGGATGGATAAGAGAGAGGAAGAAAGAAAAGGAGAGAGCAGGAAATAAGAGGGAGGGAGAGATGGAGAGAGAAAGAAAGAAAAAAAGAGAAGAAAGAGAGAGAAGAGATGGAGGGGAAAGGAGAAAGAAGGGGAAAGAAAAGTAGAGATGGGGAAATAAGAGGGAGAGAGAGATGGAGAGAGTGGGAGAGAAAGAGAGAGGATGAAAGAGAGAGTTAGAAAGGGAGAAAGAAGGGGGAGAAAGACAAGTAGAGGAGGGGAAATAAGAGGGAGAGAGAGATGGAGTGAGTGGGAGAGGGAAACAGAAAGAGAGAAGATGAAAGAGAGATAGAAAGAAAAGTAGAGATGGGGAAAAAGAGGGAGATGGAGTGAGTGGGAGAGGGATACAGAAAGAGAGACAGAAAGAGAGAAGAGATGGAGGGAAAGGGAGAAAGAAGGGGGAGAAAGACAAGTAGAGGAGGGGAAATAAGAGGGAGAGAGAGATGGAGAGAGTGGGAGAGAAAGAGAGAAGATGAAAGAGAGATAGAAAGGGGGAGAAAGAAAAGTAGAGGAGGGGAAATAAGAGGAAGAGAGAGATGGAGAGAGTGGGAGAGAAAGAGAGAAGATGAAAGAGAGGGAGAGATAGAAAGGTAGAAAGAAGGGGGAGAAAGAAAAGTAGAGGAGGGGAAATAAGAGGGAGAGGGAGATGGAGAGAGTGGGAGAGAAAGAGAGAAAATGAAAGAGAGAGAGAGAGAAAGGGAGAAAGAAGGGGGAGAAAGAAAAGTAGAGGAGGGGAAATAAGAGGGAGAGAGAGATGGAGTGAGTGGGAGAGGGAAACAGAAAGAGAGAAGATGAAAGAGAGATAGAAAGAAAAGTAGAGATGGGGAAAAAGAGGGAGATGGAGTGAGTGGGAGAGGGATACAGAAAGAGAGACAGAAAGAGAGAAGAGATGGAGGGAAAGGGAGAAAGAAGGGGGAGAAAGAAAAGGAGGGGAAATAAGAAGGGAAGAAGAGGAGAGTGGGAGAGAGGAAGAGAGAAGATAGAAAGAGAGAGAAGAGAGGGAAAGAAAAAGAAGGGGGAGAAAGAAAAGTAGAGGAGGGGAAATAAGAGGGAGAGGGAGATGGAGAGAGTGGGAGAGAAAGAGAGAAAAAAGAGAGAAGAGATGGAGGGAAAGGGAGAAAGATGGGGGAGAAAGAAAAGGAGAGGAGGGGACATGAGAGACGGAAGGAGAGAGGGTTAGGGTTAAGAAGAAATAGAAAGAAAAGAGAGATGGAGGAAAGGGAGAGAAAGAGATGAGAGAGGGAGAGAAAGAGTGAAATACGAGACAGCGATGGAGGGAGAAGGAAAGCGAGAGAGAAAGGGAGGGAGGGAGGGATGGAGAGAGAGAGAGAGAGAGGAGGGTCATCCTCAGGTCGGGGTCCAGCGGAGGAGGGCCTTCCGGGCGAAGGCGAGCAGGGGGCCAGGAGGGGGACTCACGCATGAGGAGGCTGAAGGCCACCACCCCGAGCAGCCCTTGGAGGAAGATGCCGAAGTTGCCCATGAGGTCCCCGTTTTCGCAGCCGCGGTAGCCTGACCCGGCCCCGGAGGTGGCGGAGGAGGAGGCCCCCCCGGCCCCCTTGGGCGTGACCCCCGCGGAGGCGTTGAGGGCCAGGGAGCCCCCCATGGCGGCCGGAGGGAGGGAGGAAGGAGGGAGGGGAGGGGCGGGGAAGGAGGGAGGGAAGGAGGGAGGAAGGAAAGCAGGAAGGACAGCTTCGCAGCAGCGCTTCCTGCCGGGCGGAAGGGTCCCCACGCGCTGCGCCATACGTCACTGCCGTCGGGTGACGTCTCCGGCGCGGATTGGCGGAGAGGGGGGATGAGACCTAGGGGGCGGGGCGTTGTCAAATTGTACTACCCCGGGCATGGGCCAACTTGGGCCTTCCTTCCAGGCATTTTGGAGTCATGGGAATCGTTTCACAAGATCGCGTCTTTAGTCTTTTCTGTCAGAGATTGCTGCTGCCTCACCCAGACACATCTCACCACATTAAAATAGGGGATGTGGCTCTTAATGAGACATCCTGCCGCATTATCACGGGGTGTCTGCGCCCTACACCCCAGGAGAAATTACACTGTCTAGCCGGCATCGCACCGCCTGACATCCGCCGGGAAGTAGCAACCAACAGTGAAAGGGCCAAGGCAGTGACATCCCTGGCCCATTCCCAGTTCAGATATCAGCCAGCACGCCAACGTCCTAAATCAAGAACTAAAGAGACACTCGCAGGAACACCTCAGCAAGCAAGAATCCAAATGTGGCAGGCTAAAAGCCAGAACCTCAATCCATGGCTGATACCGAATGAGAGCAGGCCTGTACCGAGGGGGGGGGGGGGGTTAGGGGTTCACCCCCCCGAAATGTTTCAGATTTTTTTAAAAAACTGGTTTACTCATGAATTTTAACTGGTTAACCAAATCCCCATGCTAAGTCTATGAGATGCAAAAAAATTAAGAGTCCCTCCAGAACTGCAAGCACTATCTCAAGCAAATATTGACAATTTATTCACACTGTCATTACTTGCAGCAATAGCCAATGTAGTGAAGCAACCAAGTTGGGGTGTGTGTGTGTTGAATGCTCTCATTAAGGAGGCCAGACTTGGTGGAGGTGGTTGACAGGGGCAGAGCTGCAGGCTATTGAAGGCTGCTCTGCCCCTGCTGTGCTCTTTGCTTCAGCGTGAGCTAGGAGGCAGGTTTCAACCCCCCCCCCGAAATTTTCAACCCCCCCCCCCCAAAAAAGTTCAACCTCTCCCGAAATTTTTTTCTGGCTACGTCCCTGAATGAGAGTCTCATAGAAGATTGGGCAACTTGGAAGGTGCTGAACAGACTGTGCTCTGGCACCATGAGATGCAGGGCCAACCTTAAGAAATGGGGCCACAAAGTGGAGTCCACAACATGCAAGTGTGGAGAAGAGCAAAGCACAGACCACCTATTGCTATGCAGTCTGAGCCCTGCCACATGCACAAAGAAGGACCTTCTTATTGCAACACCTGAGGCACTCTAAGGGGCCATCTACTGGTCAAAGGACATTTAATAGAATGCCAAGTTTTTAAACTTTGTGTTTTCTCAAATACATCACAACTGTACCCTTGGTTTGCTCCTGATACGATGAATAAATACCCAAACTTCAACTTCCAGGACTTCATAGCATTGAGCCACGGCAGTCAAAGCAGGGTCAGATGGCATTAATTCTGCAGTGTAGATACTTGCTTACTTAGGCGATCCCTTGTTGTCTGAGTAAAATTGTCTTCCAAGAGCAGTGTACTGGTGGTGGGTCCGTCGGTGACTGTGGACCCCTATTCTTGATCTGTATCTTTTCCCGCAGTGAGGGTTTCTAGGTGGAAAGCGGTCCCAGTAGGGGTTGGCTTGACGCACCTTCCTCTTGGCACGTTTCTCTCTTTTGCCCTCCATTTGTGCCTCTTCAAATTCTACAGCACTGCTGGTCACAGCTGACCTCCAGCTGGAGCGATCAAGGGCCAAGGTTTCCCAGTTCTCAGTGTCTATGCCAGAGTTTTTAAGGTTGGCATTGAACCCATCTTTAAATCTCTTTTCCTGCCCACCAGTATTCCGTTTTCCGTTCTTGAGTTCGGAGTAGAGCAACTGCTTTGGGAGATGGTGGTCGGGCATCCAGACAATGTGGCTGGTCCAGCGGAGTTGGTGGCGGAGGACCATCGCTTCGATGCTGGTGGTCTTTGCTTCTTCCAGCACGCTGACATTTGTCTGCTTGCCTTCCCAAGAGATTTGCAGGATTTTCTGGAGGCAGCGCTGATGGAATCGTTCTAGGAGTTGCATGTGACTTTGTAGACAGTCCACGTTTCGCAGGCATATAGCAGGGTTGGGAGGACAATAGCTTTATAAACAAGCACCTTTGTATCCCTATGGATGTCCCGGTCCTCAAACACTCTGTGCTTCATGCAGAAAAATGCAGCACTCGCAGAGCTCAGGCGGTGTTGTATTTCAGTGTCAATGTTGAATTTTTTGGAGAGGTGCACCATTTTGTAGATGCACCATGGTTGGCCCCTCATTTACGGGGCCACCATAACTGGAAATCTACTCGACAGAAGTTAACAACAACCCCAGCCAAATGTAGCATGTCTTCCTTATGAGTAGATATGTGTAGTAGGAAGCAAACCTCTTTTGCATCTTTAAACTTTTTGAATAGGCCTGTCATCCAGCACCATATTAAAAGCTTGGTCATTTGTTTTGTTTTGCATTGCAGGTCTTTAAAGGAAGTCCAAGAAAAACATCATTGCATACCAACTGCCTTAGCAGTGCTTTAACATAGAAATGAGCACTCTTCTTTGGCACCTCAAAAGAGGCTCAGAGACTGCTCTCTTGTGGCCGCCACCTGCTCAACTTCTTAAAACTTCTGAATACCATAAACACATCCAGAACTACATCCAGAACTATCCAGAAAAAATGCTTTTATTTTGGAATTATTTCCAATCAGTTCTCATATTTAAGGAAATAATCTCATGTAGGTTAAATTCTCTTAAGCCTCCAAGTGTGTAGTTTGACACCCCTTTGACTGCCATGCTTTAGTGCTATGAAATCATGGGAGTTGCAGCTGCAGCCAAAGAAGGCTGCCGTCCCATCAAGCTACAACTCCCAGGATTCCACAGCACTGAGCCATGGCAGTTATAGTGAAGTCAAACTGCATTAAGTCTACAGTATAGATGAAACCCCAAGTATTTTTAATGCTCACCCAGCCCTTTGTCTTCATCATCTTGCCAGTGGCGCAATGGGTTAAACCCTTGTGCCAGCAGGATTGAAGGCTGACTGGCCAGAGGTTCGAATCTGGGGACAGCATGGATGAGCTTCCTCTGTCAGCTCCAGCTCCCCATGTGAGGACATGAGAAGCCTACTATAAGGATGGTAAAACATTAAAACATGGGGCTCTCTGGGCAACATCTTTGCAGACAGCCAATTCTCTCACACCAGAAACAACTTGCAGTTTCTCAAGTCGCTCCTGACACGAAAACAAAATCATCTTGTCTGGCAGAAGGTTTTTTTTAACAGCGTCAGCATTATGAAGACAGTGTGGAGAGTGGAAGAAACAAAGATTTTTGATACTAGTTTCAACAATGAGTTTTTTTTATCATGTCAGAAGTTACTTGAGAATATGATGCAAGTTGCTTCTGGTATGAGAGAATTGGCCATCTGCAAGGACGTTGCCCAGGGGACATCTGGATGTGTTGCCATCCTGTGAGAGGCTTCTTTCATGTCCTCGCATGGAAAGCCGGAGCTTACAAATGGGAGCTCACTCTGTCTCACGGATTCAAACTGCCGATCTTCAGGTCAGCAGTTCAGCCAGCACAAGGGTTTAACCCATTTCGCCACTGCAATAGAGCTGTAGTTGCAAAAGAACAAAACTTTAATCCATCTTAAAGAAAAAGGCAAGCCGCCTCCAGAGTATCTTGTGAACACAAAACTTACAAAATGAGATAAGTATGCCACAACCAACATCTTAAAAAGGGATATATTTTAGTTTGTCCATTAATTATGAGAAAATGGAGGCTGGTAAAAGAAAACATCATCCCTGGATTCATTTTGGAGGAAGCTTGCAGGTGGTCTCTAGAAGTTTCAAAAAGGTTTACTCATGCAAGGCATATCTGATCTGGTTGTATCATTTCACATGTGGAAATTGTTAGTTTTTGATAAAAAATAAGTTTGCTTAAACATGTTTATCTATTTTTGTCGTGCAGGAGTACAGGCAGTCCAAGTTACAAACATCCAATTTACAAATGACTCATAGTTAAGTGAGACAACAGGAAGTGAGAGAAATTTGCCCCTCAGAAGGGAAATTCACTCCTGAAAAAGTTATCATGGGAAAAGGTGTCTCCACAGAAGCTTTCTCACCAACCCTTGTTTCCACAAGCTAATTTTTTCAATATCCAGTTACCACAAGGATAGGAAGTGAGGTGACATCTTCTGAACAGGGGCACAGACAGCAAAAGAAACACCACAGGGTGTTAACTATTCCCTATACTAGATAAAGCTTTTATATGTGTGTGTGTAACTCCAGCCATATATATGTGTGTGTGTGTGTGTGTGGAACTAGCACATTTTTAAGTGTAACTCCAGCCATATATATATGGAGTTACTTAAAAATGTGCTAGTTCCAACTTACATAGAAATCCAGCTTAAGAACAACCCTACAGAACCTATCTTGTTCGTAACTCGGGAACTGCCTATATATCCATATTCTTTCTGTGTTACTTCCCCAAGTTATTTCTTTTCTGCTAAAGAAGTAATTCCCAGAAACATATCTGCGTCATAACTGAAGTATATCTGTGCATTTCTACTCATAAGTAGACCTTTTTGTTTTGTTTTGCTAAAGACATAATAACTAGAGGCACATTTCCTTGGTTAACCTAGGTATTTCTTTACTTGTCTGCCCCAGTGAGTACTGCATATGTGTGTGCAGAATCACATTTGGTTTTTAGCACTTACAAAAATGTCCCCTTTTAAAACCTAAATTATTTTTATACAGCATGCAATGAGATAAATCCATTTTAGTCCCAATTTTATTAAAACTTTGAAATTGTTGTGACTGAAGAAGTAATCAAATCAATTCATTAATCTTAGTTGGGACTAAAGTTGAATTTAAACCTCAACAATAGGCAAAGAAATACAAAATGCAATCTATATTTATGTCAGGGATTTAGTTAAAATGAGTTGTTCCTGGTTTTGAAAGAAGATACATCACTAGTCTATTTTGTATAACAATTTTCTCGCAGTGAATTATAGCTGTAATTGTGAAGTGGGATATTT